GGGAACCCCCACCCCTCCCAGGGCTGCCCCAAGGACTGCCTGCAGACCCTTGTCCCGGAACCTGTTAATGCCCTGTGACAATTTCCCTGTCCCCATTAGAGAACTGCCCTGCGACAATTCTCCACCTCCATTAGTGCAATTGGTGACATAACCTTCCAGTTACGCAAGTTCTAAGCAACGGAGTTAGACCCACGTGGGTCTTGCCTGAACGTCCACTGTTTATTCCGAGTGTGGCCCTACCGTGACAGACGGCAGCCTGGGAGCCAAGCTCACACCGCAGAGGCAGAGAGAGCCCGTCCAGGTGCAGGTTGGCATTTGAGCTGTGGGCAGACAAGACCGGCTGTGGGGACACACAGAGGCTACAGGGCCGGGGTCTTCCAGGGTCAGGCCAGCCCCACATGTCACAGGCCCCCCTTGGCTGGTCCCTCTCTTGACTCTGTGTCTGGCTTTAGGTGGTTCTGGGCCTCCTGCTCACACTTGATCTTGTCCCACAGCTACACATTTCCTGGGCTTTTGTTCCATGGAGGGGACCTTGCTCTCTTGCCTCTAAATCTCCTCTTCCTTGCCCCCTGAAATTTGACCTTGCGCTCCACACCATGTTCTTATGCTGCCTTTCTGGTGTCAGGGCTGGAAGGTAAGAGGGGAGGTGGCATGCCACTGGGAGTACAGAAAGCAGCTGAGGAAACGGGACATTCCCACTGGATTCCAGTTCCACACAACGCTTTCTGGCCTCAAATGTCACCCAAGGTGTGTTCTTTGCTGAGCCCATTTCCTCAGCTGTGAAAGGCAGAGAAGCCCTGGCACAGGGTACTTTGGTTATGAGTGCTGGTCTTGCTTGAGCTCAAATTCTGGCTCTTCTACTTCCTATGTAACTTGAGCGAGCTTCTTAACGTCTCTACGCTAGCAGTCCCCATCAATAAAACTCTTAAGGCTAGCACCTTACTCGCCACGCGGTGGGAAATCCGCAAGAACACCCACGCCCCTGGCATGGAGCAAGCACCACAGAAGCACCAGCCGTCCCATCTTCTGCAGACACAGGCGGGTGGCAAGGCTGAACGCAGAGATGCGTGGCAGGCTGCCTAGTGTGGTACCTGGCACGTGGTGGGTCCTTATCGCACAGAGTAAAGCAGGAAGGCAGGAGCCCACTGTCTCCCAGCTCAAGCTCTCACTTCTCTTGGCACAAAACACAGTGTGGAGCAAGAAGTGTCCCAGTAGAACAGCCGGGGGCAGTCACAGGACGAAGGAGGCCTGAACACACGACCAGGCTCAGGGAAGCCAGTGCCGCAGGCCCAGCATCAGCTAGGAAAGGACTTTAGAGAACCAGTCCCCTGCTCTGCCCCACCCAACAGCCCCAGGGGTGTGTTACCCGCTCTGTGTCTGCCGTAATTCGGTGGGGGGCTGGGATGCAAAAACACCAGGGCCACACAGCATTTGCTCTGAACAAAGCCTCCCCACGAACCGTGCGAGGGGTGTGCCAAGCGCTGGACAGTTCATGACTCCCCTGCAGGAAATGGGCTGTGGATACAAAAGAAGACCAAGCGCGCATTAAACAGCAACATTCTTTACTTCATTCCCGCCACCCGCCCTTTTCCTCACCCCGTTCCTCCCTTCCGGGCTGAGCACGGTCCTAGGTCTCATCATCAGGTGTCCCTGCCCCCTGCCCTGGGTCACGGCTCCCAGCCCGATGCCCCAGGCTCCCAAGGCTTCAGCTGCAACATGGAGAAACGGCCGGAGGGCAAGTTCCCAAGTCAGACACCCAGCTTCTCACTCCTGCCTCGCCCCTTACTAGAAGTTGACTTTGGCCAAGCTTCTTAACCTCCGACCTCCGTCCTGATGGGTTAGATGAGCCCGCCACCAGGGCCCACCCACAGGCCCAGCAAGAGGCAGGGCAGCCCAGTGCGGAGCTAGGCTGGGCTGGCCCACATGGGCTTCTGGTCTTTATTACTTGCCATCTCCTGAGTGGGCCATGTCGGTGCCCACTGTCACCCCGCCCGGCCCAGGCTCATGGAGGGGGCAGCCCCCCTTGGCTATAGCTCACACCCCCCGCTATGTTCCTGCAGAGGTTTCCACGTGGGCCACGGCTCACTTGTCCACCCTGTGACCCAGCGGTGAGTCTCTGAGGCCTCACCGACCACGTGTCACTGGTGACTTGTGTCCCCAGCTCACAGCCCAGTGCCGGGCCACTGGAGGTAGCCAACTGGCCTCTGCTGACTCTGTGAGCGAATGACGTGTGCTGGGCACCATGGCAGGCCTGCAGAGGGGAGGCCGCGGACCACGGGGTTCGGCTGTCCTCAACTCTGCTCACAGGCGAGGACATGAGACGGCCTACCCAGCCACTGTCGTCACCTGCTACGGGGCTCTCCTAGGACCCCACTGTCAACAGCAGGAAGTACATGTCTGCTGGGTTCCTACTATGTGCAATATGGCAGGCTGGGAGCACGGACGTGTGATCCCGGGATAGCCTTGAAACCGATGAGACAAATGGGGCCCATCATTTACCCCATTTTACAAAAGATGAAAGGTTAATCAACATCACAATAAAACCTAAGTGTGGAATCTGACTCAAACCTCCCTGCCCGGACACAAGGCCCTCGTGACCTACAGCCGGACACTAAGCCACTTCTCCCTCAGGTCTGTGTGGGGCAGCGCCCGAGGCCTTCAGACGGCCAGCTGGCTCCTGGCGTGGTCATGGCGAACACCAGCCGGGGAAGGTACCTCCTCATCTGGGAGCTTACAAATGAGTACAAGACTTTTTAATGACTTCCGGGTCACTGATGACACAGAGAAGTGGCCCATGCTGAGGGTGCATCCAGAAAGTCGGATCCAACTTTTGAGGTGAACGGCACGCAGGACTGGCCCAGCCCCGAAGGCACCCTGACCCGGCTACGTGAACAGCTGTGCAGGCCGTGGAGAGCCCCTGCTCCGTGTCTGGACACCTGCTTCTCCGCTTCCTGCGTCCCTATCAGTTCTGGTCAAAGGCCCCGTGTCAGGAAGGGCGGGTTCCTCCCTCCAACCCCACTCAAAGCACTGAGAACACTCAGTCCAGTTTTTCCTGTTGTGTGTTCACATCCCCTCTCTTCCCTCTAGGTGGTAGAGTCTGGGGGATACTGAGGTGTGGTTCCCCCATGCCCAGGAATACAAATCATAACTGGCATTTATGCTACGGTCTCCAAGGCCTTTGCAAACTGAACCCTCTCTGTCATGTGAGCAGTCAGCAATTATCCTCAGACCCATTTTGGAGATGAGTAAACTAAAACTCAGCCAGGCATGGAGAAATGTCAGTGTCACCCAGGTAGGAGGTGATGGATCTGGGCTTGAGCCCAGGTACGCTGCCTCCGATGTGGATCCTCGGCCGCCTCCACAGAGCTCACCCTGATGCATGGCCGTGGTCACTCTCTCTGGGGCACCACTCTGCCCTTCAAAGCGAGACCACTCGTGACCACCTCCGCCCGTGCTTTACTGCATAAAGCCGATATCCTGGTTCTTCGAGGTTCCGCTTCTGGTTGATGCTTCTGCCTTTCCCCCTGGAGCTACCCACCCACCAAATGGAGGCATCCAAGGCTCACTGTCCCTCCCCTGTGCGATTCCACTCCGGGCGTGGCTCCGCTGTCACTCTTCTTTCCTTCTGCCACCCTTCCGCGCCCCTCCGCCCCAGTCCTGCAAGTGCAGACCTACCTCGCTTCTAAGGGCCAGATCACAGGTCTCCTCCACCATGGAGCTTTCCCAACTCACCCCAAGTGGGGGAATGTCCATCCTTCCCCTGAACTCCTTTCCTTGCCTCGGGCAAGAGCTTTACGCTTCCCCCAAGAGGTGCAACTTCACGTCCCGCTGGGGTGGGACGACAGGGCCCGAACAACGAGGGCCAAGGGCATGGGGCAGCGGACTCCGCCTGCTCTTCAACCAGAGCAACGACCACGTCCCGTCTGGTCACCCGAAGACCTCACGTGCAGGCTTCACAGAGGAAGCAAACCTCGACCCCTGTGAATCAGATGGTAGGTGACGATGTCGAGAGAGCCAGGGCTGGGCAAGGTGCAGGAGGACTTGCCCCGACGCCCCCACCATGCTGTGCACAGAGGCATGGGTTTGCCAGGGCGCCCGGACTGCCCCTCGAACAAGAGTGTGACATGAAGGCCTCTGTCTGCTGCCCCCAAGGACAAGGCAGAAAGCGGGGGTGCACGCATCTCGGCTCCAACAAAGCAGGTGCCAGGCTCCCGGAAATGAAAGTATGACCGTTCCCCTCCAACCACGGGCCGCAAAGCAAACCCTACATGGTTGCGGGAGGAGGGGCGGCGTTGTCTGCATGTTAAGGCTTTGGATCTTGGATGGGGAGGTTCTGGGTGGGACCCAAACCCAAGATCTTGACTCAGAAGGGGAGGCGTAAACCATCCGAGCTAACGGAGGAACTGGAGGACTCAGGCAGAGAACGTTTTTATTCTACCCACCACATCTCATAGAATGGGAGGGGAATAATACAAAGTGCATTTTTTTTTAAGAAGCAAAAGAATCCTAAGACATAAGCTAAGCCCCCACCTGTCATGGGAGTGGGAGGGTCATCATTTGCGGTTACCGTACCCGGTAACAAGTGCCCTTGATTCGGGGGTGGGGAGGGGAGAATCTTGTAGATAAAGCCAGGACCCCCTCCCCTTCTTCCCCCAGGAGGGGATTCAAAACCATAAGGTCACTTTCTCTGTGCTGGCTGGCTCTCTTTCATCAGGCTGCAGAGCAGTCCCAGAGGAAGGTTCCGCACCTGGACAGGGTCAAGGAGTTGGGTATGACTTGGGGCAGGTGCTGATGGGGACTGGGTCCCTGCACGAATCTCGGAGCAAAGGGGCAATGCGGTGTGGGCCATGTGGAAGGTGGGTGCAAAATTCTTTCCAGAAGCAGAGGATACAGGATGGGGGGGGTATGCATTTGTGCTGGATGTGGGGGCCGTGTTGCTGGTGATGCCAATCGCCTTGCCCACCCACGGTAGGACAAGACACCCATATGGCCGCCTGGGCAGGTACGGCAGAGGAGCCACAGAGAGCACCAATCCGTGGTGCCCATCTGACGCTACATGTCCTCTAGAGCTCCTGGGCCTGCGGCCCCAAGGCCTGCTCCTCCACGGGCTGCATGGCTTCCTGCACATAGACGATGAACTCCGAGGCCTCCCCGCCCTGAGTGTAGACAGTCACCGTCTCGATGCCCTCCACGTCGTCAGAGGACACCACCAGGTGGTGCTGCTGGGCCAGCTCCACAGAGGCCTGCTGGAGGGTCTCCTGGATCATGACCGTGTGGTTGGAGCTGGGCTCCTCGTCCGTCACCTGCGTGAGGGCAAGAGAAAGGTCACACAGGTCCTGCTTCTGGCTCTGGCCACAACATGAGAATCACAACTACTGCTTATGGAGCATCGAGTACGTTCCGGGAGCTTGTCCCTACCGCACGCCAACGCTCTATGTCTGCTCTCAGCCCTGGTCTACGGATGAAGACAGTGAAGCTCAGTGGCAAAGCCCAAGTCGAAACCCAAAGTCCAAGCTCTTCTCTTGACGCCAAGCTGCCTCCAAGAGGTTTGCCAGGGCTGCCAAAGGTATGAGGGTTGGAAGGTAGCGTGCGGGTGATTTACTGTAACCCTGTGGAAGGTTAGCTGGGTGGCTCCTGGAAACTCATAGTTGATCCGTTTGGCGGTGAGGAAGGGCCTAGGTTTATCCTGGGTTTTCTGTCCTTCCACACACTGTGGGAGCTCAACTCCCTGTCTGAAGATGAGTCTCACATTAGCAAAGGGTAGATGTCCCCGCAAGAATGACTTCCCCCAGCTGTGTCCATCAACACCCGTGCCTTAGCCATGGCGGGAGTGGCCCGCTGGGGGGACCCACCGTGGGGCTGGGGGGGCATCTGTCGGTGGAGGGGACCTGAACTCTACAGCCAGGCCTTCCTCTGCAGCTCCAAGCAGGCAGATTCCAGACAAAGCCAATTCCAGCTAGTGCCGAGGCCCCGCACCCCGACCCTGTGGGCTCTGGCCTATTTTAAATAACTGTCTTTGATCTTCAGAAGAAAAATAATCGAGAGAACATGGGGAAGACTCAGGAAGACCCGAGAGCCCGGAGCTGTAAAAATAATGTAAGGGTTAGAATAGGAGCCCAGAAGTGGGTCTGGGATGGTTTAGGGAGGGAAGGAGAGAGCCCTCAGGTGTGTGCAGGGAGGTCAGGGAGGGGCCGAACGGCAAGGTGGGCGGGACACATGCCTCGTCCTGCACGGAGCAGGGCTCGCACCGCAGCTTACCACTGTCCTCTGGGAGGCCAGACACGCACCCTGCTACCCTCCCATCTGTAAAACAGGGATGACTGCGCACTCCGGAGGATGGCTGGGAAGGTAAGGGAGATTCTATATGCAAAGTGGGTGCTTGAGAACACCGCTGCCTCTCCAGTGCCCGTAGCACTCATTTAACGGTACTTTCGTGAACAGCACAGGCTGAAAGGTGCGCTGCATGTCAGCTCCTCGTTAGTCTGGCCACGCTGCCAAGCCTCTGTCATCATAAAAGGTCCCAGCAGACTAAGCTCCGTGCAGACGGGGCCCGCGGTATCGCGCTCCTTCCCGGAGCCAGGCTGGCCGCACCCACAAGCACTCAGAATGTGCTGAGTGACAATCTGCCAGGTACTGGCTGATGTGACGCGCACTGCAGAAGTGGCCCGGTGGGAAAGACCCAGGAGCAGAGCTGAGATGTTCCCATCCAGGGCTGGGGAACCAGGGAAGGCCTCCGGAGGAGAAGTGGGGATGGGTTCCAGGAGAGGGCCAGAAGGACCAAGGGCTCCTAGGACAGCCAGCAAAGGTGGATGTGCTCAGGTGGCCTCCGTGAGCGCCCCCTGCTGATGCTCCGACTTCTCTCCCAGCTGGTGTCTGGCACAGGATGCACCCCACCCCCAGGTCCGTCAGCTGGGTCTGAAACACCCAGGACTCCATGCTTCCTGGGAGGGGGTGGGGGATGCTCCCAGGGCCTCCCTCTAGCCCAGGGACTGTACCATTCAGGGCAGGCTGTGTCAACAGGGGGATTATATTTAACTGAGAGAAAAATGGAAAGGCACCTCTGGGGCGGGTATCACACAAAGCTATGGATTGGAAGGCACTTCTAATTTGGACTGAAAGAATTCAGCAGAAACCAGAGAACTATCCTGAGTGGAAACTATGAACACATTTAGCCTGATTTTGTTTCTCCAGAGTGAGTCAGGACCTTTTTTCTTTCTTCCTTTAGTGTTTGTTTCCATTTCATTTAAATGGGAAAATGTACTGTGGACCAAGACTTGAAGTAAATGTTGATTTATTTCACACTGAAAGAGGGTGCCTGCCAGAAGGCTGGGGAAGGGTTGGGGGGACACAGAACAAATAGATTTCTCCTCAAGTATCAGGAACTTCTGCACCAAGGAAAAGGCCAGGGCAATTTGTTTTTTGTTTTTTAGTTTCTTTTTTTTTTTAAGATTTTATTTATCTATTTGGCAGACAAGAGATCACAAGTAGGCAGAGAGGCAGGCAGAGAGAGAGAGGAGGAAGCAGACTCCCCACTGGGCAGAGAGCCCGCCTGATGTGGGAGTCATTCCCAGGACCCTGGGATCATGACCTAAGCCTAAGGCAGAGGCTTTAACCCACTGAGCCACCCAGGCGCCCCATGGGCAATTTGTGCTGAGGTCCCAGGACCTCCCACGTGCAAAGCCAGCCTGCTGCACTTGACGTAAACAGATGACCTGAGCTCTGAGACACAGATGCTCCAGGGCGTGCACTGTGATCAGAGGGCCGTGACTGCGGTCAGAGCCGAAGCCTGAGATAAGGAAGCAGTCACATCAGAAATTCCCACTGGCTAAAATTCCCATCCCTCTGAACAACAGTAACGCCACGTGGGCCCCGTACTGACAAGGGCCGAGAGCGGTTTACAAACGAGGGGACCCTGCGCCGGCCTTCTGTGAGCAGGGGCTGCGGCCTCCTGTTTCCAGGACAGCCGAGTTCTCAGATACCACCTAGCGGGGATAGGAGGGTGGGATTTCGAGGTGACCGGGAGGGTTGCTGCCCACAGGTAGGGGGAGGAAAACAGGCAGAAACCAAGATGAGGCCACCGGGCTTGAAATAAGGGGAGACCACATGCTTCCTCTGGTTCATCGGAGCCCAGGGGCTGCTGCTTCATGGAGGGTGGTGGTGTCTGCACGTGGCAGGAAAAGGCTTTGCAGGCAGAGAGCAGACAGTGAGCAAAGAGCAGGCACGTGTCCCTGGTCCTGCCAAGGTTGCCGGCCACCTCCCAAGCACCACGCCCGCTGGACAAAGTGCTGTCTTCCCCCCCTTCCAGAAGGTTCTACACCATCTCCCACTGCTGGGCCAGCCTCAGCTTTCTTCACTGAGACACCCTCCCCCAGCTTCCATAACCCTCCCCTGGGCTCTGAGCCCTCTCGCAGAATCCAGGCTCCCTGTTTCCTCGGCCTCCTCTCTGGACCCCTCTGTGTCGACACTCTGCTCTGGCTGAGCCAAAGACATCGAGCTACAGACCACAGCGCCATCTGCTCCTGGGGAAGGCGGGGGGCCCTGGGGACATTTGTCCAATGTGCCAAAGTCACAAGACAGAGGGAGTGCTGGGAAGGAGTGGCAGGCGAGGTCCTGAAGAGCCCCCGTCACCAGATGACGGGCTGAGATTTCATTTACAAAGGCAAACACAGACAGTTTTCAAAGGAGGGCCTGCGTCACCGGCTCCACAGCACCTGCCGATGGAAACCTGCCTAACGTGAAAGGCTAAAACTCACTGAGTGTTACACTTCCCTCACTGCCCCTTTAAATATTTATGTTTATCTGTCCATATCACCTTTTCTAAGTATGAAGTCTACTCAAAGATAATCCTTTCTCCTCCCCACTCCCCAATTTTCAGCTCCAGGCTTTTGTGCAACAGAATCACCATTCAATCCGTCCACTGCTAATTATAAGAGCACAGTAAACCTTAGGGTTTAATTCAGCAGAAAGAGTGATGGAGACGAAGGTGCACGTGCCTTCCACAGACGTCCCGCACGGAGTACCCTCCTCGGCAGGCACAGGCATACCAGGTCACCTTACTGAGTCCCCGAGCAGAACTAACAACAGCTAACAGGGTCCCCAAAGCCTGGCCGTCGCCAGCCGTGGGGCAGTGCTTACATCTTCATGAGCTTTCATGGGCAAGTGGTCCTGCCGGCCCTCCAGCTGCCACGGGGAAGAGAATGTTGCAGGAGGAAGACTGACCGGGGTGGGGGGCTAAGCATGCTCCACAGATGGGGTCTGTGAGGCTCTGCAAGGGGAGCCCCTCCCCATCCTCACACACACCATGTCTCATGTTCCTGCAAACCATGGACCTACCCCATTCGGTGGAGCGCAGCATCCCCCCGCCCGCAGCCCCTCGCCCTTCCCTGAACTTGTGCTGGCCGTGTTCGCACAGCGTCTCATGCTGGGCATTTCTGAGTGAAACCGCCGGTGGGCCAGGGACTCGCCCAGGGTCAAACAGCTGGAAAGTAGCAAGAGCGGGACTGGGCGGACGCTCATGCAGAGACCCGCCTCGGCAGGTGTGGTGTGACAGCAACGGACAGGATTACACGTCACAGATCACCGATCGACTGGGTTAAATCGTTACTTCACACAATCCAGTCACTTTACAGCTGCCTGCAGAGCTCTCAACCATTTCCTCCATTCAAAGTGATCTCTCCGGTCGCTTCATTAGCTCAGGCTTAAAATTGTTCCCCACGGTAGAAATAATACGTCTTCACGATGTCATTATCCCCTGAGATGGGGACTCCACTTTCCCCAAACGCTGTATCTAACATATCTTCCAGCTAAATTATTAGCAGCATAGATAGCTTAATAGAAAGCCTTAACCCAGGGGACTGTACAAATTATTCACTAAATCAGGCTCTGAGTTCTGCAGCTCTGTCCACCTCAAGTGTTCTTTTAGAATTGAGACCAGATGGCTGTCAGGCCCAGGCACTCTGCTGGGCTCCATTCCCACTAAGGAGCGTTCGCCAGCCGACGCCCAGTCCCCCTTCTGGCTGCCAGCCCCCTCCCTGTCCGCTCACGGGCAAACACTGGTGGAGACTGGGAACATGAGACATGGCCGATGTCTCACTGTCTTGTTTCCTCCCTCTTCCCCTGCCGGCCCTACGTGCTCCCCTTCCTCTCCAGTACCCTCTCCACTTTTCTTTATAAAAACCAACCTAAGCAGGCAAACCTCTTCCTCAACATTCAAGAAAGTCCCCAGAAGTGTCCCTCGCTGGAGGGGCCCTCCTTAAGGAAGAGGGATTCCCTGTGCCCACACATATGTGCGGCGCCCCAGCAG